TTTTTGCACTTTTTTGATCCCTCAACTATACGAAATGCACTCCGTTAGTCCTTCTGTTAATTTCGATCGTTAACTCGCTTATGTGGCATTTTTTATAATTTTTTTGATGACGTAGCAAAAAACAAATGAAAAACATGTTAGACGTGTAATTTTTTTTATGCCAACTCACGCTATTTCTATTTATATTTTTAAAAAATAAAATAAAATAATTCCTTTCTCTTTTTCTCTTTTTTTCTTCCTTTTCTTTCTTCTTCTTCTTCCTCTTCTTCCTCGGGTTCCATCAAACCCTCTGTTGGGTTCGATGGAACCCAGAGCTGGGTTCGCTGGAACCCAGCTTTGGGTTCCACCGAACCCAGAACCCAGCTCCACTTTTTTTTTTTTTTTTTTGGTTTATATGATTGTTTGCCTGAGGGATTTTTGGGTAACTAGTTTCTTTTTCTGTTATATGATTGTTTGCCAAGAGATTTTCAAATTGCAGGTTGTTGCGAGAGATTTTTGGACAATTGAGTTCAATGAATCGAATTGGATTCTGTCGAACTTCAATCTTGAAAATGGAAAGAAATGAATCGAGCTGCGTTCTGTCGAACTTTAATCTTGAAAATGGAAAGAACATCCTGTCGAACTTCAATCTTGAAAATGGAAAAAACACCAGAAAATCTTGAAAATGGAAAAAACACCGAAAAGAATAGAAACAGTAACAGATGGCCAAAGGAGCAATTGGTAGTGGTGATGTGAGACCCATTGGATGGATTTTGTGAGTTTTTGCCAGGTAGCATGTGACATGGCAAAAGTTGTATGCATGTCATCACTTTTTTAAGTTTTGCTTTCTACATCATCAAAAAAAATATAAAAAATGCCACCTCAGCAGGGTTAACGGCTCAAATTAACAGAAGGACTAACGGAGTGCATTTCGTATAGTTGAGGGATCAAAAAAGTGCAAAAAATTGTTGAGGGACCAAAAATGTTCATTTCTTAAAGTTGAGGGACCAAATTAAGCATTTAACCGTAAATATTAGGCAAACACAAGGGCGCGCGCAGACACACACACGTAGGAAGGCCTAAACACGCGTGTCAACGGGTCTGACAGCGTTTCCAACGTAGCTATTAAGCAAAGGGCATGCTCTTTACCTCTCCAATACATTTCCTAGCGTTTTGGCCGCCGATTTCTGCACAGATCGCCATGGGTCGAAGTAAGTTTCATGTAGAATTGTCTATCTGTATTCATTTCGTTTCTGAAATTTTATAGACATAAATAAGAAATTATGCTTCTGCTTTATCGTCCACAATGTCAGATCCATCTTTGCGGACTAATTTTGCTTTCTTTCAAACTGATTTCTATTGTTTGTGTGTGAATTATTGTACGGTGGTTTATTCTTCCAGTTTATATGATTTATGTCCTGCTATTTCATTCATTATTATTTATCTTAATTAGTTTTTTTTTATATAAAAAAAAATCCATCTTTGATCCTGTTTTGTCTTTTCACTTATTGTTCACATACAACCGACACAATGATATAACATGATGTCAAGGGAGATTCTTATGTAATAATTTTCAATACATAAATTTAACACAATTAGGTTCTAAACATCATACTTAAATAATTAAATAATAAAATCACATATTGTTGTTGGAAGTCATTGATCTATATACTTTCGAAAGAAACAAACAGAAACAGTTAAAAGGCTAAATCTTCCTCTCTCTATTCAACTTTTATATAGTGATAACCAATAGGTTATATCGCTCCTTAACTCCACTATTTATAAAGGTAGGTTTTCTGAATAGGAGAAGAGGGCACCCATCAAGTAGCTCATCTTTTGATTCTATGTTCTACACTTATTCATATCACACCATATAAAACTGAAAAAAAATTTAGACCCATTTAGATCACATAACTTTATCGAACTTTACCAATTTTTCCATTTAACCCATTTAAAAAAAAAAAAACTAAAATACAATTAGCAGAAGTCCACATAAAATTTCCAACATCTTATTATAAATTTAACCACTAATAAGACTAGCTGAAAGGAACTAGGAACCTAAGCAAAGAAACTAATTCACCGAGGGCCTGTAATTCAAAATAAACAGCCAAAGGCCAAAAGGAAAATGAGAAGAGAACAAAATAGAACGATAACAACCTTAAACAAGAGATGCCAAATGAAATAAATATGCAAGCTTACTCTAACGCAATGCATGAGAACATGTTGATTTCAAATAAGTAAATAATCCAAAAATTAATTTAAAACAGGAGCAAGTTTATATATATGTATATTTTTTAACGGTTAGTTGAAAATCCATGACATAACAGGTCTCAAATAGCCTAAGATAAGCAAAATTAAATTGAGATGAGAAGAACCGCAATGGTAAAGAACGACGCTTGGGCTCAAATAGAAAAGATTATGAACGAAACCATACTGCTGCAAAGGATTTCATGACTAAAGTTCAGAAAGGCAACAAAAAAATAGAACACCATCAGACAAGTCATTTTCAAGGACTAAAGAGAAGACTCCTATAAAGAAAAACCGCACCAAATAAAACGCATAAAACATGCCACAAGTTCTAAAGCATCTATCATTGTAAAACAAAATACAGCAAGGTTCCCAAGTCTAAGAAACCCAATGTCGGGTTGCTCCTATAACTTGATAAATTCTACAGAAAATTTTCAAAATATCACAAGCAAGAAGAGATTCCAAATTATGAAAGAAAAAATAATCTCAAGCCACAATCCCAAATTTCATTTCAATTTCTAGAGAGGAATTACAAGGGTAAGCAAAAAAAAAAAAAAACAAAATCATACATGAAAACTTGCTCGAGGAAACAAAGATCTCAACAATGGAATGACAAATTCTCTTTCCTACCGACGCCTCCCTAGGAGCCAAAACTCGCGGACCTCTCTCTCCTCTCTCCTATTTATAGAGGGTATGATATGAAGAAAATATTTATATATATACACATATATATATATATGATAAGCTGAGTCACCGATTCACGACTAGAGGTATCAAGCTGAATTAGGGTGTGATTTGATATTGTTGTGAAGTATTATGGCTGTAGCTGTGGCTGTGTTTAGCTATGGTTGTATTATATTATAA